GGGGGTGAGTTCAGATAGGGCAGCTGCCTTCCAAGGTACGCTCAGGGCCCACAGGGCAGAGTGACAATGCCGGTCAGACCGACGGTGAAGTGAATGTTCAGAATCTTGGTCCCTGCTCTCCTCATCCCTGGGGAACAGGAAACAGCATTCCTCTCTGGGTCCTGCACATGAACCTGGTGCTTACGTACCTTTCACCAACTCCAGGCCTTAGAGGGAGTTGTTGGGTAGGAAGAAGTCCTGAGCACCCCATCCAGAGAGGACACCCCACTGCTGGGTGAGAGAGGATACCTTTCATTGCCTAGGGATTGGGTGGCAGGGTCTTCTAGTACCTGCTGTCGCCATAACCCTTTAGACCAGAACCTGCTATGCCTCTGGATCAGCCCGAAGTGGAGCTGATGTCCCAGTGATTATCATGACCCGGTTGTGCCACGCAGCTGCTAGGTGGTTCGGAAGTCGCTCAACCTCTCTGGCCCTCAGTTTCCCCAACCTGCACACTGGGAAGAGTAGTTTCTGAGAGGGTGGTGGAGAGTGCCGTGCAAAGGGCCCGTGTCTTCCTGTTGACAGTGGTTCTAGATGACTCGAAGCGGGTGGCCAAGCGCAAGCTGATTGAGCAGAACCGGGAGCGGCGGCGGAAGGAGGAGATGATCCGATCACTGCAGCAGCGACCAGAGCCCACTCCGGAAGAGTGGGATCTGATCCATGTTGCCACGGAGGCCCACCGCAGCACAAATGCCCAGGGCAGCCACTGGAAGCAGAGGCGAAAATTCCTGGTAAGGAGAGAGGGGGTGGGGGTGAGTGGCAGCGAGGTGCCAGGGAGAGGAGAGCTAGCTCAGGGCCTTGCCTCCTCCAGGAAGCCCTCTTGGTTTGCTCTAGCACAAAGCTGATACTCCCCAGACCTTGGTGGTTTTGATTTGAACACCTGTGTATGTATGACTGCCCTCTGGGCCCTGCCTATTCCACCTGATTGGGAGCTACGTGAGGACAGGGCCTTTCCTTCCTCATTAGATTTCCGGCAGGGCTGACCTCTCCTCTTTTCTTCGCTCACAGCAACTGGGAGGAAAGGGGGAGAACACAGTCATGGAACAGTATTTTGGGGCACCTGCTGGGTGCCGGGCATTGTGTTAGGCCCTGGCAAAACCGAGTGCCAAGTGAATGGTCAGGTGGTTGTCTATGGTGAAAGAAGGCAGGAAACTGGCGGTCTGGTTCCTGGTAAGGTATGCCAGGGGGTGGAACAGTGTGCTGTCACGGTCAGGAATCAGACTGCCTGGTTCTACAACTTACTAGTCGTGACCTTGGGCTTATTAGGTAGCTGCCCTGTGCCTCAGTTTCCTCATCTGTGAAATGGAGATAACTATAATACCTTCTGTATAGGGTTGTGGTGAGGATTAAATGAGATAATACGCGTAAAACACGTGGCCTAATGCCTGGCCACATATTCAATACTCAGTAAATATAGCTTCTATTCTCATGACATTACTTCTGCTGCTGGGATGATCATTGTTATTATTAGCAGACTTGGAGCTCTGGCTCTGGTCTGTTCTCTGCCCGGAGGTGAAGGAGAAGCCTGGGGCCTGGGATCTAGCAGTCCCAGGGACCGGGGCCCCTCTTCCCCAAGCTGCCTTGGAGCTCCCCCTGGTGGCAGGGAGCCTCAGAGGTTGGACGGGGTCTGCAACCCTGGCTGACCGCCCCCCCCCCCCTTCTCTCTCCCTCCAGCCGGACGACATTGGCCAGTCACCCATCGTCTCCATGCCGGACGGAGACAAGGTGGACCTAGAGGCCTTCAGCGAGTTTACCAAGATCATCACCCCGGCCATCACCCGTGTGGTGGACTTTGCCAAAAAACTGCCCATGTTCTCCGAGGTGAGTGGCAGGTGGGAGGGGAGACATGGTGACAAACATGGAGGGGAACCTAGACCTGCTCCCCAGGCCACTCAGTCCCAGCACATGCTCATCTGAGTTCCTCTGGGCAGGGAACAGTTCCTTTAGATCAACACACACCCCGCACCCTCCACTGCTCCGCCCCCCCCACACACACACACTCACACACACACTCACACACTCACACACACACTCACACACACTCTGGGCTACCTGATCCCTAAGGAACCAGTGGGCTCCACGTGCCCCGTTTCCACCGCTCCTCTCAAGCCCGCCCAGCCCCTCTCCCCCATCTCTACGTGGCCACCCCAACTCCAGGCAGCCCGGACATTCTCGTCTTAAAAGAGCACTAGCTGGGGACAGGCTGCTGTACCAGCTGACTGACCTTGGCCATGTCACCTGACTCCCTCGCATCTGTTTCCTCATCTGCCGTGGGGATGGAGATGTAATTGGGTAATTGTGAGGTTTCATGAAATAGGGCAAGTCTGGGGCCCAGCGCAAGGGGAGCTGTGCAGAGTCCATGTCCCTGGCTGAGGCCAGGCGTGGCCTCGCAGCTCCAGGGGCCACCCCCCGGGGCGGGGGGGACGCTCTTGGGAGGGCGAGCTGAGTCCTCCCTGGCCCTGCCGCCCCACAGCTGCCTTGCGAAGACCAGATCATCCTCCTGAAGGGGTGCTGCATGGAGATCATGTCCCTGCGGGCTGCCGTCCGCTATGACCCCGAGAGCGACACCCTGACGCTGAGCGGGGAGATGGCTGTCAAGCGGGAGCAGCTCAAGAATGGCGGCCTGGGCGTCGTCTCCGACGCCATCTTTGAATTGGGCAAGTCACTCTCTGCCTTTAACCTGGACGACACGGAAGTGGCTCTGCTGCAGGCCGTGCTGCTGATGTCAACAGGTACCTGCTGGCTGGCTGGGAGGGCTGTTCTGCTCGTCCTTACTCACCCCCGTCTCTCTCCCTTCACCGGCTTCTCTGCCGCCCCCAGGCCCACCCCTGGGTCCCACAAGCTCACCTCTGCCGCCTCCATCACCCAGCCCATCCTCTGTCCCCTGTGCCCTGCTCTGTCACCCATCCCCATCTGTTCTGCTCCCCGGGCCCATCTCTTGCTTCCGGATCCCTCTTCTGCTCCTTTCCCATCTTTGCCCCATCCCCTCTCTCTGCCCCCTCATCCTTTCTCTACCCTTATTCCCACCCCACCTCTCTGCCCCCCAACCCTTCTCTCTGCCCCCAGTCCTGCCCTATTGCTGTGTTTCCTCTCTCCCCACCTCTCTGTCCCTCTGTCCTCATCCCTTCCGCAACCCTCCCTCTGCCTTGGAGTTGTTCCTGCCACCCCCGCCCCCCCCCCGCCCCTCCCCTCCCCTCTGTCTCCCTTCACCCTCTCACCCTCATACCCTCATACCCTCATACCCTCATACCCTCATGCCTCCCCTTCCCCGCAGACCGCTCGGGCCTGCTGTGTGTGGACAAGATCGAGAAGAGTCAGGAGGCGTACCTGCTGGCGTTCGAGCACTACGTCAACCACCGCAAACACAACATTCCGCACTTCTGGCCCAAGCTGCTGATGAAGGTGACTGACCTCCGCATGATCGGGGCCTGCCACGCCAGCCGCTTCCTCCACATGAAAGTCGAGTGCCCCACCGAACTCTTCCCCCCACTCTTCCTCGAGGTCTTTGAGGATCAGGAAGTCTAAAGCCTCAGGCGGCCAGAGGGTGTGCGGAGCTGGTGGGGAGGAGCCTGGAGAGAAGGAGCAGAGCTGGGGGCTGAGGGAGACCCCCCACACCTCTTCTCTCCTCCCTCTCGTCCTCGGATAGATGCAGCTCCCACACACACCCGCACTACCCCGCCCCTCCTCAGACCTCCAGCCCTGGCACAGGGCACACAGATGAACTTGCTATGGAAAGGACAGTGTGGGAGGCTGGGAGGGACCGCGGGCCCCGTCCTCCAAGAAGGTAGGGGAAGGAAGGGAGAACCGAGAGGGGGCAAGCCATCTTGACTGTAGGGGACAGGAATGTGGAGTCGGGGGGTGGGGGGTGGGGGAGGCCCTCAGCTCGCCCCCTGCACACACACGAGAGAGAGGCCCCCGTCTAGTTCCTTGGCCTAGATTCCCCCTCAGGCTAAGGGCCTCTCTGCTTCCCCAGATGCCTGGGTGCAAAGAAGGGCTTGGCTTGGCTCCTCCCCGGAGGTTAAAAATTATAGTCATTCTAACTGCACTTTGGAAACCAGGCAAGGGGAGAAGATAAATGAAGAAAAACTAGACAGAGAGAAAAAGAAAAAGAGAGAGAGCGAACGATTGCTAGAGAGAGAGAGAGAGATAATATTAAGTTATTAACTGAGGCTGGCCAGAGGGGAGGACCCCCCCTACCACCCCCATGCACTTTGAGAACTACCCCTCCTCCCCCCAAATCAGAGAACTGCCCCCCACACAAGGTCCCTAAAGGTAGGGCTGCCGATCAGAGCTGTGAGTTAACACAACAGGGTCCTGGCCACCCACCCCTTGCCTTGCCCCTCCCTGTGCCCCTTTGGCACCCCTATCCCAGTACTTCCTCTGCTCTCTGCCACTCGTGCCCGCTGAGTTCCATCTACCTCTCACGCTGGATGCCAGCTGGCCCCTCACCAGCCTGCCCTGCTGCCCACACAGCTCCCCTTTCAAGTGCCCAGCCCCAGGGGCCTCTCCCTGTCCGTCCACCGCCCCCCCCCACTCCTTCTGCACCTTGGCACCCACACAGGAAAAACCGTGGCTCAAGCTCCCCCCCTCCTCACTTCCTGCTGTACTAGCTCCAATCCAGATGCTCTGCACTAGGGCGAGGAGGGTGTGCGCGCTCGGGGCTTCTCCCAGGGCCTCCGCCCCCTGAGGACTCTGTTTCCCATGTGTCTTCTGGGCTCTCCCTAACCTCTGCCCTCCTCCGTCCCTACTCCCGCTTCTGCGCACGAACCCAGACTCCGGGTGGGCAGGCACCTAGGAATGGGATGCTTAGATTACTAGCACTTCGCTGGGGCCCCTGGGGAGGGGGCGGTTGGTGCTCCTCCTTTTTTCTTTGAAGCTCTTTAGGCCAGCCCGCCCCTCCGCCCCGCCCGGGACCCATTTCCCCTCCTCTTTTCTCTAATTCAGGGACTTTGGCTTGAGCCACCTCCCACCTTCGTGGTGAGGAGTGCTCTGTTGGTCTGCATTTGGGTCAGTTACCCTCCTCCTCCCCTTGGCTCTCGCCCACTCCGCAGGGGAGAGGGACGAGGAGGTAGCTCTCCCGTGGGAGGGGGTGGGCAAGGGGAGGGTGGGGAGGGGCAGAGCAGACCAGAGGGCCCTGGGCTCAGGGCTGCATGTCGGCAGGGATGGATGGGTGGACATAGATGCCCCCGGAAGCCATGGGGAATGGGGCAGGGGGGAGGGGTGCCAGGGCTTCCTGCGCTTTGCACTACTGGGGCAAAAATGTCTTAAGCTGTGGGGAACCTGCCACCCCACCCTGACCCTCAGCCTGCCACAGCCCCCTATACACACACACACACATGCACACACATGCACACACACACACACAAAGGCAATGCTATGCTGCCCATCAGGGCATGTCCTTCCCCTGCTGTTCAGGTTTTGGGCAGAGGGGAGGGCCTAGAAGAGCATCCGCTGTCACCTGTGCTGTCACCTGTGCATGTGCCTGCCCCGCCCCCTTGGGCACGTGGGCTGCACATGCTGTCGTTGTCTCTCCCTCTCTCTCTCTCCTGGGGCTCTGGTTCCTGTATTCCTCCTGTCCTGTAGGCAAGCCCTCTTGTACCCTCTTCCTACCCCTGGGGGCCCAGTGGAATTCCTGACCTGTCTGCTGTCTCCCCCGTCCCTCCAGCCCCACCTCTCCCCCTCATTCCCCATTCTCAGCCATGGACATGGTGGAGAAAAGGCCTTGAAGAGGCGTGGCCTCTTACAGGCACTTGGGAATCCCCAGACCCTGCCCCAATCATGAGAGCTGTGATCCCCCACTCCTCCCCTGACCCCTCCCCCTCACTCTGTGATGTGGGGTGAATGTGTGCATTTCTCTGTGTGAATGTGTGAGCGAGTACGGGGGGGGGGGCGGGGGGGGGGGGGACTCAGGAGTGCCACAGACCTGCTCTAGAGAGGCAGCTGTCCCAGCCCCTGCTTTGGAAGTGGGGGACAGGGCCCTCTCCTGGGGGCCATTGGTGCTAATGAGGGGGATGGCCTTGACGTGGGTGCTCAGCATTGCCTCCCCCAGTATTGGCCCAGGGCACTAGGGCAGGCAGGGTGGGGCAGCAGGTGCAGTATTGGTGGGAGGAGGGGCTGCTGAGAATAGAATGAGGGGTCCAGGCCAGGACAAGGGGGGTGCCAGAGCCATGACCACTACCCCACCCCCACCATCGCCTCTCCATCTCAGTATTCCCCGTTCTATCACTCATAACACACATACCTCATCCAGCCTCCTCCCTGCTCAGACTTGGGGAGGGTGGGGGTGGAGGAGCCCCTATGCCTTCTCCTGGTGGCGGGTCTACAGGGCTGGGAGAGGGCAGGGCGTGTGACAGACACCGTCCATAGGGACAGTAATTCCTGCCCTGGGAACTCCTGGGTGGGGGGAGGGGGACACTTCCCTGGAGGCGCTACTGAATGTATGAGAAGCTGGTGCTGGGGGGGGGGGGAGGGGGGTTGTGGCCAGAAACAAGGAAGGAGGTAGTTCCCTTCCCCGGGGGTGGGGCCAGTAGGAGTGACTTGGGGGGCTCCTACTCCTGCCCCATGTTGACAATCAGTATGTCTGTTATGTGCGATTTTTCACCCCGTTGTGTTTTGGGTCAGGATTTTAAAGAAAGATATTTTTATGGTAATTGTTGCTCGTCTATTTTACTATATATTTATGTAATAAATATATGATGAAAATAACCCCCGTGGGCGCCCCCCTTAGACTTGTGTGCTGTTTCCCTGTGCCCTCCCATCTGCTGGCAGAGTACCCACCCCACAGACTGACCAGATGGAGGTGTGCCCCAGCCTTGGCATTATTTCCTCCCCACCCCACCCCCAACAAGCACACACCACAGGAGCCAGCTCAGCTGTGAACTATTGGATTTGAGACAGGAATAGAACAAATTGGGGGGCTAGAGAATTAGAGGGGAGAGAGTGGTTTAAATAGGGGGGGCGGGAGGTTCAGTGATGGGGGAGGGAGGCAGATATTTACAAGAAGGCTCGGGGGGCGGGGGCCAGAGGCTCATCTTGGAATATTTTATAACAATATAAATAAGATTCTGGTTTGCTTTTCCTTTTCGTCTCGTAAAGGAGAGAGAAGTGCAGAGTTCGATTCTGTACAAGGGGGCAGCGGCAGAAGGCCGGCCGGGCGGGTCACTGGGCGTCCACCCGGAAGGACAGCAGCTTCTCGGAATGCATGTTGTTCAGGGTCCGCAGGTCCGGCAGCTTGAGCAGCAGCTTGGTGAAGCGGGAAGTCTCCGAGGGCCGGTTCTTCAGCACCAGAGCCCGAAGAGCCCGCAGCAGCGTCTCCTGGAGCTGCTCCACCGAAGCGGAATTCTCCGTGCCCGAGCGGTCTGTGGGGAAGACGACAGCAGTGAGACGAGCTCCCTGAGCTCCTCTGACGAGGACCCCGAGGTCTGCCAGGAGCCCCCCGAGGCCTGCCAGGAGCCCCCCGAGGTCTGCCAGGAGCCCCCCAAGGTCTGCCAGGAGGATGCAGCGGGCAATGCAGCCTCTCCCTGAAGCCCCTCAGAGGGCCCAGGGGAAGGAGGAGGAGGGAAGCACAAGTCCTCCCCCCAGAGCAGGAGGTGCCCGAGAGCTGGGAGCATGGGCTCAGCAGGGCTGGGCACCTCCCAGCCCACAAGGCCGCTCTCCTTCCCTAAACAGGCCAAACCTACCCAGGCTCCCTTGCTTTTTGCTCGGTAGTTCCCTCTGCTTGAATGCCACCCCCACCCCCACCCCTGCCTGGCAATAGCTCACTTGTCCTTTGAGGCCCCACTCCAGTGTCACCTCCTTCCCCAGCTCCCCAGGCAGAAATAGTTGTGCGTGCTTCCTAAGCCCTTGGTTCATGCTTCTACTGTGACACTTATTTCACTGTTTTATAATTAGTCGGGCATGAGTCTGTCTCCCAAGCTAGACTGTGTCTGAATCATGTCTGTATCGCCAGTGCCCGGTGCAGGGCCTGGCATAGAGTAGGTACTCCATAAAAGGTGTGTTCAATTGAACTGCGTCCGCCTCCTCCCCGGGGTCAGGCTCAGGCGAAAGCTTGACTTACCCGCAGAGACAAGCACCACCGCGGTGAAGAGGCCCAGCTCCTCCTCCGTCAGCGCCAGGGAGTTGAGCTTCTCGCTGAAGTCGAACATGGCATTGAGCAGGTCGCCCATGCCCATGGCGCTGAGCTCCTGCAGGCTGTAGGTGGTGCGGCTCAGGAACATCACTGTCTGGTCCTTCACGTTGAACAGCGATGCAAAGCGCACCATCAGCACCTACAGCGGGAAGTCATCCTGGGTGAGGTGGCAGGAGCACTTGCCGAATCACCCCTCAAGTTTTCTGAAGGGTTTACTAGGTTTCTCAGGAATGAGTGGGGATAATTTCCAAATGGGTAACGGGAGGTGGGAGACCAGGTGGAAGGATGGAGAACAACCCACACTGGCTTTGCAATCCAACAGGCCTAAATCTGAGTCACTACCTGTGACCTTGGGCAAGTCACTTCACCAAAACTAATTTGCTCAGGCCTAGAACGGGGGTACAGTGTGCCCGCAAGTGTTATTTTAAAGGCAATGGGATGTGACTAGACCCCAACTGAGAAGACAAATCCCAGCCTCCTGAGGCAGGAGTGAGAGATGTTCTGCCCCCTCCCTCCTGCCTCAGTCAGAGTCTAAGGACAAAGGTACTGGGGTTCCAAAGCCTTTCAGAGACACTGCCTGCCCCAGATGCCAAATTTCCTGCGGGGTGCTTCCCAAGGTCAAGAGTGGGGAGCATAAAGGGTCACTCACCTCAAAGGTGCCAGCCTTCAGCAGAGTGACCTGGTCGTGCTGAGAAAGGTCACGGAAGCCTGGGATGTGCTTGGCAAACTCTACCACCTCCCGCACAGCGGGTGTGAAACTCATGGAGAAATCCTCCCAGATCTCTTGCACGGTTCGCCCACTGCATCCATGTGGGTACATGTTCATTGGACACGCCTGGAGGAGGAAGGGATTTGGGGAGGGGAGTATCAGCCAGGCTAGCTCAGATGAGCTCCCCACCCCACAGGTTTGGGCCCATGATTTGGGCTGGGTGAGAGGCCGTGGCCCGGGAGGAGGGGTCTTTCAGGTAAAGTAGAAATCAGGTGCCAGGTGGAGATCAGGGATTCCCTAGGCAGAGCCCTTGCTACAGGCCTGAGCATCCTCCCCTGGGAAGAGGATATTCTTGTGTTAGCCTCCGGGCACACCCAGCTGCCCTATGCTAAATCCAGTCTTGCAGGCCCCCTGCCCACTTCACCCCAGGTGCCCTCACCAGCAGAACGTTCTTGGAGTTGCCCTGCCATGGACTGTTGGCAGGTGCTTCGCCTTCTGGGGCTGGGTACACGTGGGTGGGGCATAGACGGTGCCCATTGCTGTTGGGCTGGTGGCAGCTGTGCTGGGCAGGGCCAGGGGGCCAGGCAGGAGGGTAGGAGGGAGGCTGGTGTAAACCATTCAGGGCCTCGTTATGACGTTGCGCGGCCATGATGTTGTTGTCATTGGGAACAGGCGAGCAGCCTTGACTTTCCCAGCGATGTGGGGTGGTGGCCGGAGGGTTGGCTGATACATGGTTGGCATTAAAGTTGCCAGGTGAGCTCAGCTTGTCATGGGCATAGGTGAAGATCTCTCGGTGGGCCCGGGCCACCTGGGATATCACATCTTCCACTGTGGGCTCAGGACTTGGAGATCGGGGAGGTGTGAGCTGTTGTGGGAACTGGGAGAAACCCACCAGGGGTGAGGGGGCTGGAGCGGGGGGTGGTGAGGGGCCCACGGGGCCTGGGGTTGGGTGCTGGACGGGCGAGGTCTCCATTGGGCACTGGCTGCTCAACTGGTTGTTGGCCAGGTTCATGGCGCTTTGCATCTCAGCGAGCATCCGCTGCTTCTCCCGTTTGGGTATGCGCCCAAAACGCACAGCTGTGACAGGATGAGAGCAGTGTCAGGAAGTTTTCATACACACTCACATGCTTCTCTTCCTTCCTTTCTCCTGAAAGGGCAAGACCCTGAGGGCTGGGGGTTCCATCAAAACTAAAACCAGCAAGGCCACACCCATGGAGGGGGTTTTCCAAGTAGGGATGTCGGTAGGAGGTGACCAGAGGGACTAATGGGAAAGATCTGTGTTTACCCAAGAGGATGAAGTATGGGCATCCCCTAGGCAAATGAGACTCCCGGTATAATGTGTCTCAGTTTGGGACTTTTTACAGGGGGGGGGGTAAATCCGGAAACGGAAGGGGAATGCTCGAGGGGCAACAGTGCTGCCTCACCATCTCTGGACATGCCCACGGAGAGACACTTTTTGAAGCGACACTGCTGGCAGCGGTTGCGATTTATGCGGACGATGGAGCAGCTCTCATTTTTCAGACACCTTTTGTACTGGATGTTCTGCTGGATGCTCCGACGGAAAAAGCCCTAGAAGGCAGGGGCAGCTAGTGAGCATCTCCATCTAGGCCAGGCCGATGAGTCCTGGGGGAGGGCGTCACCTGCCCCTGTGCTTACCCCCGACCTGCCTCACCTTACAGCCCTCACAGGCATGCACACCGTAGTGGAAGCCCGAGGCGACGTCTCCACAGACTTTACACAGTAGCACCATGCCATTGAGCTCTGTGGGAAGAGAGGGGCGGCAGGTGAGCAAGAGGGATGACTGAGTGGTCAGAGGTGAAGGTTTTCTGGGCTGGAGATTCTGGGGGGGAAACTAAGGAGGAGCCCCAGTATCCAGGGGGGAGCACTCAAATGACCAGACTGGGCTCAACAGCAGCTGATGCAACTCGAGGAGAAATCTCCAAGGCCAGGGTAGGCTCTGGGAATAACTTGCACATGGACACCAACTCCCAACCTCGGTCTGCCACCTTCCTTTCCCCGGATCATCTGGAAATGTACTCACTGGTGATGCTGCTGGTGCTCTTGCTGGGGGACACTCGGCTGCTGTCCTCCAGGGCCACTTGTAGACCCCCTGGGGGGCTCCCATTATAGAAGGAGGAGGAAGAGGAGGATGAAGAAGATGGAGAGCCATCATCACTCAAGCTGGGTGGAATGCTCCCAAAGGAGCGAGCTGGGTCCTGGGTGAGGGAGCCAGTGGGTGATGGTGGGAAGTAGGTGGGGCAGCCTTGGGTCAGGGACTGGAAGCTTCCATTCGAGCTGTCACTGTAGAGGGACTCAGGGCTGGTGCGGCTCGGGGAAGAGCCACTGGAACCAATGTAGGTGATGACGCCACCTGGCAGTGGAACACAAGGGGAGAGGAAGTCAGCTGCCATATGTCTATGGTCTTAGAGCACCACCCTGCTCATCACCTCCTTGCCTCTCCCAAGCCAGAAGTTAAACATGTGGCACCCAGAAGAGCCACCATAGGCAACCCCCAACACATACTACATATGGCATAGCCAATCAACCACCACGACCCTTTGCAGGGTACACTCAGCTTCTGCCTTGGGTGTGAGGTACCTCCCTAGAAGCACGACCCCTGTGGGCATCTCATATGTGCCCTCTCCCCTGCCCTGAAGCCTTCCTTGGAAATGCTGACTGCAGCTAATGACTTGTCGGTGGCAGACCTTAAGGATGGGATGAGCAGCTGAGACCCATTCATAAGGCCCAGTCTTCCAAAATAAACAGCTGCCGATTTTAACAGAAGACCATTCCAGGGATGAGGCCATGGAGGGGCAGCTGGCCAACAGTGAGGAGAGTGGGGGAATGTGAAGATTTAAAGTCACATTCCCCCCAAACTGGAAGATGTATTCTCCGAAGGTACGGAAGGTACCAAACCTGCCCAGTCTGGTCTCCCTGGCCTCCGATAGCCCTAGTCTACGTCCAGGAAAGAGCAGTGCAAATTGCAGGAGGTGGATGTGAAGGACAAATTGTCCTGCCTAAGGCTTTGGAATTCCCCCTTCCAGATCTCTCAGCCTGGTGACAATGACCTTGGCTCTCTGGCCACTCCAGGACTTTGGACATCTGATTACGCTGCTAACCAGGTGGCTGTGTTCCCGTGGTATCAGCAGGAGAAAAAGGTGACCTGCTTGCCACACCTTTGCCAAGCACCTAGTTTGGCTGGCCATGGGCGGGGTGAGAGAAGGGAGGATCCCAGGACACGTGAGCCAACACAGGCTATGCTACTGTGTCTCCAGAGGCACATGTCTTGCTCACCCACTGACACACACTAAGCTGGGCAGGGCAACCCTAAAATAGCTCAAGGTTGGCCAGGGTGAACCCAGCTCCCTGTAAAATAGTTGCACAACAGATCAGCTCCTACAGTTTCAAGGCTGATGGGGCGGGGGGAATGGGGTATTTAGTTGGTGGTAAATGAACCTGACCTAGTTCACCCATCCCCCAAAGAGGAGTTAAGACTCTCTAAAAAGACTTCCTTCTAACCTGGAAGTGAGGGGGCACATTCAAAAGAGTCTAGTTCTAGATCTATCACCACCAAATTGATTTGTGATCTAGAGAAAATCAAGTCCCTTCTCTAAGTCTGTTTTCCTTTCTGTAAAACAAACAAAAAGATGAGAGAGACTTAATATCCTTGTTTTGGGGAAGTCCTTAGGAAGCAAACTGCTGCTTGTCTGGTGGGGAGGGGAGTAAGACAATGTTTGCAGGACTAAGGAAGGGATGCTTGGGGAACAGAAAGAACTTGGAATGCGGAGAAGCTGAGTCTAAAGGCAGTGCAGTGAGTAGGTGCAAAAAGAATAAAGAGGAAAGGAGTGAGGAGAAGGGTGGCTGTATGTGAGGTCCCTCTGAGGAGTGTAAACAGGAGGCCAAGCAAGGTCAGGGATGGCCCCATCTTACTCGGCTTTGGTGATGGGGAGGAGGGGGAACCCGGGCAGGCGGACAGGAAAAGGAGGCAGGCGGGTGCGGTGAGTCAGCCCAGCTTCACCCAGATCTCAGCGGGGCGGGGCGGGAGTCGGGCCCTCAGCCGGCCTCACGTCTCCGCTCCACGTGTGCCTCTTGCACGTGGCTCCCCAACGAGGAACCCCGGAACTCGAGGGCCCGCCCTCTCCGCTTCCCGTCAATCGAGAGCAGGAGCACCGCCTCTGTCCCGCCCCTCCCCGGGTCCAGGTCCTGGTCCTTGGCTGGGCAGCGAACGCGAGATGGGCGGGGACTACAGAGGGGAGGGGAGAAGGGAACACGCGTTGCCGGGGCGACCGGGGGGCGGAGCTCATTATGTAACAGGGCCGGGAGGCAACGACCAATGAGGTGGTGGCCACGGCTTCTGCTGAATGAAAACAAACGCAGCACGTGGGCCCGGCTCTGCAGCCATGTGAGCCCTCCGGGCCACCCGGGCACTGTGGGTGTCCTCCTGGGGCCCAGCGCCACTCTCCCAGCTGCTCAAGTGCCGCTCCCTCCTGCCGCTGAGGATTCCCCAGTGAGCCCTGACCCATTCCCCGGCCCCTCCTGCCTCGGTGTCCCGATCACCCAGTGCTTCTTAGGTTTCTTCCTGCCTGCGGAAACTAGGGGAAGAGGAAGAGACGAAGGAGGGCACCTTCTTTCCGAGAAGGCCAGGCATGTCACAGCTACAGGGGGCGGGTAGATGGGGGCGTTCTGGGGCACTGCTCCAAAGCTCCCAGTCCCTCTAAAGTACTGTTCATCTCACCACACGAAATCCCTTCTCCATTTCCTTCGGCCCGGAATCCTTCAGGCTAATGAGAGCTTTAGGACTCTGAGGGGTGGGGGTAGGGCGTCTCCGGACACATTCCCAGGCAAAAAAATTTAAAAAAATAACAAAACTAAACAAAACAAAAAAAACCCTCTTGAAATCCTAGTCTATGGTCCCCATGACACTAGTAAATCCCCGGGGAGAAGGGAGTCCCCAGTCCCTTACAAAGTTCCTCTTGTTCTAGACACAGAAGTGAGAAGAAGTGACAAAGAAAAGATGATGGTAGTCATCTCAGTACCTGTGTTGTTGTTGGAGTCCAGGGTCGTCATGTCTTCACCGGTTGAGAGCGGTCATTCAAACTGGACCTTGACTCAAACTGGAGGTCGCAATTGCCGCTGTCTCCCCCTGGGCACTGACTCAGGGCAGGGAGTGGAGGCGCCCTGCAGCAAGGTTTTGGGGTGGCCGGACTGCAGCCCTGCAGAAGGGGAGGACGCTGAGGCAACGGAGGTCTGCTTTGCATGGGAAGCGCAGAGAGAGTGTGGGGGAAGGAGGCCGAGAGAATTAGCCTGCAGTCGTCCTGGCTAGAAAGCAGGAAGCAAGGAGGTCGGGTCTCCGCAGTGCACCGGTGCCGCTGCCCGAAGGCTCCGCAGCGCCGCAGGATAGCGAATCGGGAACTCCCGGTGCAGAAGTCCCAGAGGGGGAGAGGTTGCAGTCAGGAAGTAAGTAGGTGATGGGGAGAAACAGGGCACCCAGGCGCAAAGAAGCGAGACGTGTGCCCTGCTACGTTCCCTCGGCAGCAATATTTCACTCTGCCAATCTCAGCCGCCTTTTGCCCCTGCCTTTTTCCCTGGGACAGAAGGCTCTGCGCAGGCGCCAGCAACCCAGGATTCCCGGGCCGCACGCGGCACTGGAGCAGGTACCATGTGATCCCAGGGAGCGCCTCGTGCCCCAGTGACACACTTTTCCAGCAGCAGGCACGTTGAGCGCCGTGCGCCTGCGTAGCGCCAAGGCTGCCGGGACTTGTGGTCCACTGGTAAAGTGGGCGGACTGCGTCTGTTTACCCCTTTCTGCCTCGCAAAAGCTCTTGCTGGGACGGGGAGGAGCTGAGAGCGGGGTGGGTGGGGTGCGCCGAAGAGTCGGGGTGGCGTGTTTGGAAAGCCTGTATGGCAGAGGCATGTGAATTCCTGGGGAGGGACTGGCAAGCTTCGCTGCTCCCTGGGAGATCAAAGCTAATAGGCTTTTTCTGCAAACCTTGCAAACGTGAGTACTTCACGTGATTGCAGGACTGACCTCGCCTTGAGGTTACGGGTGACACGGGGAGAGAAGACAAGTAGGGGAGGGAGATATCCCTGAGTTAGCAGCTTAAGCTGAACTTCTGCTGCCGGGCCAAGTCCTAAAACTAAAAGGAAATGTGACCTCTTCTCCCCTCTGCTCCCCTCCGGGAGAGCGCGCCCCTGGGAAAAGGAGTTGCATTGGGGGTGAAGATGCCCCTTGGGACTCCCTGTTTGCTTGTGTGATACCTTCCCACCCATTTGAGGTGACTTTGGGTTGAGTCATTTCCCTTTATTTGTGAAATAAAAAGGACAAGGAAGGGGAACTTTATGGTGAAAGTGCTTTGAGGTCCTAAAGTAATGAGGCCAGAGGTGAGGCAGGGGCCTGGGAGCACAG